TGATTCTTGTTATGGTGGAGATGGAGATGGCCGGCGTTTCCAGAAGTCATGATAAACAGAACAGGCAGCGATGGTGGTTTGGCNCGGGGGGGGGGGGGCGGAAGGTGGAGGAAGGAGGAACAATTACTGCTCTGAGATCGTGTTGATACCGGTCACGGCTAGTATTGTCGTAGTCGTTAGTTCTAACCATCACGGTTATGTTACACAAAAAGGAAAAAAGCAAAGGCAGAAAAAGAAGAAGTACGAATGCAAAGCACGCTTCGTCTCGCATGTGTGCGTGCGTGTGTGTGTGTGTGGGTGCTGGTGCGCGCTAACGCAAGCGGAATCAACAACATCTAGAAAAGGAGGGGAGCCTCTTCATGAAAAAGAAAAACCATCTAAGTAGTGCATCTGCACGCACATCAGTATTCTCATGCATAAACAAACACCTGAGATGAGTCAGAGCGACACCTAATAATGGCTAGAAATTCATTGGTCCTCCGACGCGGCTCTTTATTTGTAAATGAGTGAATACTTATTTACTACCTCCTCCCGATTTGACATCCCCTTTTCTGTTAAAATAGCGGCGAAAAAAGAGTTCTTAAGTGATGAGATTCTGCATAAAACGCGTACACAGTAATGACCACTTTGCTCTGATAAACAGACAACTCAACGAGGCGCAAAAAGGCGAGTTTAATAATTTCATCAAATTGCGTCGATAGTTTTTAACAAGAAATTGTAAAAATAATGCAGCAAAAAAGTGTTCTCATTGATTCTTCTCCGCAAAAGAAAACTTTGTCTACTAACCTCTGGTAGACAGGCATTAGCCAATCAAATCTCAGGGTCAATCGGCTACACTGAGGGAGGGAGGGGAGGATAGAGGAGAATATCTCTATCGGGTAACAGAGCATGGTCTCATTGTTGCATTAGACTGATGCAATGGTTACACGGCTCCAGTTACGATGGGAATATTATGGCTCTTTAGCCTAGGAGCCCGTTGATTGAACACCAGATAGTCAAAGCGACAGTTAATTTGAACAGACATTCTCTCCAGTACCTGCCAAACCCAACCTCATCTATAGCTGCTTGCTTTCTCTATCAAATGATCAATCTTTCCTCTCATTGGCTGAAGCTAGGGCATCTCTTGTGGAAGAGTTCGGATGGTGCCAACATTTGAGAAGTTCCTAACTCTCACTTTCCCTACTAAGAGATATCTGACCTTGAGTGATCTTTTTGTCTCAAATGAAGAGGGAGAAAGAGCTTGTCATTGTAATGTCACAGCAATCTTTCATATGCACGCCTTTGCAGACTTCTACCAGATACTAGAAGATAGCATATGAACACCACGTACCACAAGATGTTGAAAGAGCCATTGTTTCATGACTTGAGTGGCTCGTTTCGGTAGAACACCACGTTTGGTTCGCAAGGCGTTAGCTCCAACATCTTGACCATTGAGAGGACCGATCACTCGATTGGGAAAGTAGGTACCACCTCCACCTCCTCCTGGAGGGACGAAGCCTGCTGAACCGTTCATTTTAAGGTCGTTTATGTAGTTCGTGGTGTAAGCTCCGGTTTCGGAGCTCTCGGAACAAACTGTATCCGCAAATGGAGGCCCAGGAGTATAGGTATCGCCTTCATCACCGCCATTACCACCGCCTCCTCTTCCTCCACTGTCGTTTGCTCCATTGTACGCCTACAGAAAGATACAAGCATATTCGACCTTTCACTTTCTTATTTTACCTAACAACATGGGCTCTCCTCAATGGCATTGTGTTCTGCAAGTCTAAATTTGGAGGACCCGTGACCAAGCATAGATTGAAGGCTCACCCTTGGGAAGATATGCAATGAGTGGTGAGTGAAACAGTTAACCGCTCATCCCTTCAGTCTGCACGCATTAGTCATGACACTCAGTCTTTGACAATGCCAAACTTGCCTATATCATCTTTTAAAACAACTATGGCGGGGGCGACTTTTATCACCTTGAGGTTTCAAAGAGTCAACATAATGTCGTCTGGTGTAAATAACACAATAAATAAGTGGCATTAAAAAGGAGTAACCAAGTAATTACATGATGGTAGATAATATCTACTTGTACTCACTAGTATTCCACCCAAGTTATATCTGGAGTATTCACCAGGACCAGATGAAAACCGTGTCGGATAGGAGGTAGTTGTAAAAGGTGATGTGTCTTCTGAACCCGCTGGTGATGAAGGCTCTGAATCTACAAAAAAAGAAAGTCATAAGGCTTTGTTCGAACCTTTTTTTGTCAAGCTCTTGACGCCTCTATTCAATGTTAGGAGTATGCCAGATGAAATCCGGTCCACCTCTAGTAGCGACGTCACTTAACCATGCCTACTCTCCAAACTCCGGGAGAGAGGGAGAGAGCAAGAAAGCAACCTTATGGTTGATACTCCATGCTTTTATTCACCCCTTGACAAAGCGACCGATTATTTGTGAACACCATGGAAACACCTTCAATAAATATTGACTCTGAGTGAGTCGTCCTCTTCCTAGCTCTGACAAAAAATGAGGAGGAGAGTCATGGACGGATGCAACACGGCCCATGAGTAAAATTCGCGGAAAAAAAAAAACTTCTGTCTTTTGTTTAGACATTGTAATACCGTTTGTCATTGTCGTTGGTCGTTCATGCGTGGATACGAGGGGCCAACTGAGGATAGGTACGGCAACATGGAAAGCGATTTTGACAGAAAAAATTGATAATTATGAGGCAAGAGTTTTGTCCGAAACCCTGAAGGTTAGTACATGTAGACGAGTCCAGTCACCAATTCACATCAAATATTTGTTCCAGAAACACCATAGCATTGTTTTCTTGATTCCGGTCTATTGATTGTTAAGACTGAAAAAATGTGGTGGTTGCAGTGTTTGAAAGCAATCAAAAACATCCGGTTTCCAGGTAGACGAGTGTCGAACACAGGTACAAGCATCCACTGAACAACGCCACAATCGGGGTGTGTGTGTTTGTGTGTGCACGTAAACATTTTCGAAACGGAATGGGGAGTCACGAGTTTAAACGCAACACTTGCACACATCTTTTAAACGAATGTCACTTGATTTGATCGACACACGCTGGGAAGTTGTTATGATCTTTGAATGACGTCATCTACTGAAAGTGAAAGCTTCAGCGGTGCCATTATCAAAGATAATTCAAGCAGTGAATGTAACCTCTCAAACACACACACTTTATGAATTTCTTATCGACTACATAAAAAAAGGATGATTAAAAGTTTCGTGAAGCCTCTTTTAAAAAGCGTTCAGCTCACCAATAAAGTAAAGGCTCTCCTAACCTCATGCTGCACTCTGATTGGTCAGATTAATGGAAGTTATTTATACGGCCACATCCCATCCAAAAGACGGCTTTCGCCGTTGAATTCACGTTCACAACAAAGGAAAAGAATGTGACTTCCATAAGCCTTTCAGACTTTGTTCTTTCCCTCTTCTTAAACGTTTATCAGGCATGTTTCTCATGTCAAATGTGTTAGTGGAAGAACGCCCTGGCAACCGTGTTTACCAAAAGTGGGTCTAGTCATACTAGCTTCTGACTCTGGGGTCTGGGACCCTATGGCCACCTCCACCAGAGCATTCAAAGATGCAGTGGAAGTGTCAAACGCTGTCAAGCCTGAC